CCCCCCCCCCCCCCCCCCCCATTACAACTCCAGGCTCCTTAAATTAAATATCCCAGAGAGAGCATGCGACATCTGTGCAGTGTGCAGGGAGGCTACTCTTAAATTGTTTTCCTCTCATTTAAAAGAGCGGAAAATTACCAGAAACAGCAGGAAAGAAGGGTGTGTTTTTTCTTTAGCATTTGCCTTCGCAAGGCCAGCAAGCCAAAGTAAATAGACCTATATAAAAAAATTGCACACAATTTGTTCAACATTGCGTCTCATGTAACATACTAAGCACTTTTCACATTTTGGCTTGCCCCTTAAAACAAATTAATTATTCTGACTGAGCGCGCGTGGCTCTTGATGGGCCATAACCATGCTGTCCATGGACATTGGCCATGAGTACGAGTACCCAATTCAATTGTGGCCTTGTTATTGTATCACCGACTCAGCTTAGACGTTAATCAATCATGCCCAGATGTCCATCAAACCGTTGATGTAGTCGTATGCAAAGAAAAATACTTGCAGTGAGTTGCACACTAATTCCCAGCAGCCAGTGCTTTTGGGGCATTAATAATGAATTAATTTAATGGCATCAGTATCACTTAGTATTAGTAGTATAACAGTATAACTATTAGTCAATTAGTATTAATTAGTATTAGGCTTACGGCTTACTTTTAAGCTGCTTAGTTTTAGGCTTGTTAAAGTAAGCATACATATTATTTTATATAAGCAAGTGTACAGCATAGGTTAGGTCTAGTCATTAATATTTTATTTTATTATAAATTATAGACAATAATAGTAGCTGTTTTTGCATGCTGCAAGAGACAGAGACGTGTAAATAAATATAACTTTATTATTTAGCTGATAATATCTCTCAATCTCTGGAAGTTGGTAGAATTACCACTAAATTTTAAAAAAAGTTTACACAAACTTCATGAAGTGTGATCCTGGTGGGTTTCTATAACTATTAGTATAAGATAAGATACTAATAAATAAATAGATATTTTAATTAACATTTATTTAAGTCCACATTTTTCAACTAAAAAAATTTAAACACAAAACATCTGCATTAAATTATTTCACTAGTGAAAAAACAACCATTTTCAGTGAACTCCCTTGTCATAACAGTAACAGTAGTAACAGGGACTTATTAGTTCTCATCATTTAGATTTGTGACTTCTGGGGGAGCACACCAGTAAATTCGTAGATTGGGGAACAAAATAATTTTTATATCTTTCACTCCTCGTCCTAAGAGAAAGAATTCGCCCTGAACAAGCCAATCCTAAGTATCTGTGATGAAGAGGGTGGGATGTATCATCAAAAATTTGTTTAGTTTTACAATCAATAACATTCAAATAGTTGTTCAAGTGAAGGATGTTTAGTTTGTGTTATGTTCCTAGATTTCTTGATTAGTCTCTTTATTCGGTGTTTAATATCAGACGATGAATTTCGACACCAGGAGGTAATATTGAAATTAAGTAGGCTTCCAATTGTTGCACTGTAGAAAAGTTAATACCTTGTTCGTTTACGCCGAAATTGTACAGTTTTTTAAGGTAGAAATCCTTATAAAAATCTCCAATTGAGCAGCAATTTCAGGAGGAATATTATTTTTAGTTTTGAAATTATATTTCGTTGCAAGAATTTAAAAAAAAAAAATCATAATTTGAATAAGATTTAAAAAATGAAAGAAGTAATGGCTAACGCTATAGTCATAAACCCACTGACTCTAACTTAAAAGTCTGAATTAGGATTACATTTTAAAAAATTGCTTTTAACCAAACAGTATCTTTTTTTCCCCATCTTTTTTTCTTTTAATAGTAAGACATGAAGCCTGCTAACCCACGATTTCGAATTCTCTATGCTGTATGGGCTCTGTTGGAATGCCTTGGATTTGGTGGTCTTATCTACGGATGGGGATCCCTTGTATACATTTTAAAAGATGAAGGACTGTATTATGACCTTTGTTCGTCATCAAATTTATCCACAGAGACTAATTCATCAGTTTTGTTAGCTGCAACGTCAAATGCCTCCAGCTCTTCAAATGCATCAGATGAAAACAAAGGGTAAGAAATTTAAATCCTGACTTTCTACTAACCCATTTGTTCAGATGATTTAAATCAATCAATTTAAATTTTTTGTTAAAATCTATAATTTATATTTAGAGGCACTTTCTAAATACAAATCCAGTTTGTTTTTATGTATTACAAGTAACATAATATATCAATTCTTTATCTTTAATTATTTTTGCATAATTTGATAATTCTTGTTGACATAATTGTTTATTCAATTTACCTTTTGTATTTTTAGATATTAGAAATCAACTTGGGGTTGAGTGACAAAGCTGGAAAATTAGTTTTTCAATTCAAATTATTTAATCAATTGACTTTGGTGGAATCAAATGACATTGACCGATGACAATATTATGACATTGAAATTGATAATTTTAAAGTGTGAAAATTAGATAGAGACTAAAATATTAGATAACTATCGTTGATTTTAAGTTAAAGAATCTTTTAAAAAATTTAGTTATTATAATTTAATATTATTAAAATAAAATGAGGAAATTCAAGTTTGGAATAAAAAAATATTTAAACATTTAAAATTTCCTCTCCATTGATGATTATTATAGTAAACTAGCCGATATAACCGGCATGGTCCGGGATTGCTTTAGGATCCCTCCCAATCCTGATGCAGTCCTGCTTCTCTGTGTAATCTCGATGACATCCCGTTCCCCGGTGGGATTGCTTAACCGATGGGTTCTAGTTTGCTGTTGGATCTCTTCCCCATTAGGATCTTGTTCCTATATGGCACCATTCTCATTGCGATTTGGTTCGAATAAGCTTTTAGATCCCATTATATATCCCCGGAGAACAATAAAGAACCTTCTGGAACATTCTAGATAAAAATTATTATCCTTGAAACGGGTACAAAAAAAATTTCTAGGTAATTTTTTCTCAAATGCGAAATATTATACACCTTAATTGAAATACTATAACTTATAACTATAGTACATTTAAAATGAAATGGGGGCCCCGGTGGGGGCCCATTTAATAAAGTACTGTTTAAGTTATGTCTGAGATTTGGTGGGGGCCCTATAAAAATCCTTAAGATAAATTATAGAGTTAAGATTTAAAATTTGTCCCATTAAAATTGGTTTAAAAATATCATAATTATAGCTTTTTAAAATTATGGAACTTTCTAGAAAATTCTAGATCGGCCCTGCATGGATTGGATATTATTGTTTTCAATCCACCGATATTTCAATACAGACAATGAAGTGTATTGCTACCACTCTAGGCTTAAAATCATCAATTCACATAGAAACTATAGTCTTGTCTAAGCATATTGATATTTATATAGCTTCAATAAGGAAAAATTAAATGGGGCCCCTGGCCCCAGAAGGGTGGATATTATGAGCTCAGTACCCTTCAGTATTTGAATATTGATAATCAAGTATATGTGTACTAAGTCTGGTCAAGATCCATCCACTCATGTAGTAGTACTAAGCCTATTGATATTTATAAAGCTTATATAAGAAAAAATAAAACGGGGCCCCCGGCCCCAGAGGAATGGATATTATGAGTTGTATACCCTTCGGTATTTTAACATGGATAATAAAGTGTATGTATATTAAGTTTTGTCAAGATCCATCTATTCGTGTTGGAATATTTGTTGTTAATTTTATTTATAAACCTCATATAAGGGAAAAAACGAATTTTTGGCCCCCTGCCCCAAACAGAATGTTATAAAAAGTTCATAACCCCTTGAGTTCCTTCTGGATCATGATGGATACATGTGCCAAGTTTGCTCAAGATCCATCAATCCATGTAAAAACGTATGTGGAACAAATCCAGCCAGCCAGCCACAAACAAACTAACTTTCACTTTTATATATATATATTATATGATATGATATATGATTGGAGCGAATTTCTTAAGAAAGCATCATTGTACAATTGTTTTTACATTTTATATATTTACAAACTACCTAGACAAATGCTTAAAGAGGTATATTATTTTATTTTCAGTTTTCAATCACACAATAATTCTTGTCTTGAAATGGATGACCGGCTGTCACTGGTATTTACCATTGGTGCAGCAATGTTTTGTGTGGGATGCTTCCTTATGGGTCAAGTTAACTACAAATTTGGAACACGTATCTCAAGAATTGGAGCCACGTAATACATCCTGCCATAATCATAAACCATCCTAAATAGTTGTACATTTATACTGCATTCTTAGATAAATACTAGTAGAATACCGAAAGATGAGTATATGTAATCCCAAAATGCATGATCATAATATTTTCATTTTATAAGGTCAAAGATTAGACTTTGAAATATTTACTAATTAATGGTGAGGATAAATGGCTTATTTTATTACTTATTTTTTAGAATAAGAAAACCAAATTTTGTTTATTGTGTTTAGAGCTACACTTTTATTGATACTTTTTAATTCACTTGTTTTCCAGTGCCTTGTTTTTTGTTGGGTCATTGATGATAGCATTTACATCAAATGGTAAGAACTTCTCTAAGGTTTACTGCCTTTGAAAGAATGTCCCAAATTAAGCTTTTTGTCAAATTTTCAAGACAAAGAGACCCTTTGATAGCTTTCCAGAAGCACTGATTCTGTGAAAGAGAAAAAATCCTATCTTAACATCTTTATGAATTGAATTAAACATTTAAGAGATAAAAATAATAAATAGAAACAAATTCTGAATATATTTTTTTATAAAGGATTTAAGATATGCTTATTTGGTGTTTTTTTATTATCATGATTTGACTTGGGAGAATGCAACCTTATAGCAGTATTTTGCCTATTTATTTGTACTGATACAGAAGAGCTAATGTTTTTGCCAAAGACATTAGTCCAAAAAAATTTAGTTTACATTTTCAATATATCTGTAAGTAGATAATCTATATTTTAATTATTTATACGCAATTTTGTTTACAAAGAACGGTGGAGAGAGATAAGAGGGATGAAAGATAGTGATAACAGGGATCAGAGATAGAGATAAGAGGGATGAAGGAGAGAGATAAGAGGGATGAAAGATAGTGATGGGCTAAATGGCATATGCTGGACAAGGATGATGATACACAATTTTCTGTCCAATGAAAAAAAACATGCTGAAAAAGCGGTACATAGCTCACTGCCCCATGAGCTCAATGATAACTCAATCCATTTCTTACAAAACATTTGCAAACAGTTTCTTCTCAATTATTTTTTTTAGATGTACCTTGGCTGATATTTCCTGGACTTTCATTGCTTGGTACCGGTGGAATAACATTCTTGATGACAAACATGCAGATCTCTGCACTTTTCCCTAAATTTGGATCATTTATAGTTGGGTTGTTATGTGGTGGTTTTGATTCATCGTCTGGAATTCAGTTAATGGTGAAGGTAAGTAAGCAAAGTCCAAATTAAAAGCTTCATTGTGGGAAATTTGTAGATCGTTCGTTCTTTAACTTTATGAACTTTTATTATTAATATCTGGGGAGATAAAAAAAAATTATCTAGCTCTTATCAAGAACATATTTTACCAACTACTCTTAGAAATTAATACATTTTTCTTTGCAATAATTGTGTGTTCTGTTGTATTTTGGTTTAATTTTTTTGATTTTAAGAAAAATTTATAAGCTCAGTAATATGCAGGTTTATTGATACCAATATTGACATGAAGTAATATACAACATATTACAAGATTTAAAGTATAATGAAGCAACATAAACTAGGTTAAAAAAAAGACAAAGTATAATAAATCAAAGAGAAACAAAGGAAATCATTGCATATTTTACTTCAAGTTTAAGCCTTTTTCAGCAAGAAGAAAATATATTAATCTATTAAAATTATCATTACAAGTGAGCAATGAATACACAAGTAAAGGAAGACGTAAGGAAAAATGAGTGTTGAAAATAGTAAGAACTGAGGAGTTTGTGATCAGGACAACTTAATGTTAAAAATCTGTTGTCAATTTTAAAATATTAGAATGTAGTAGGGTGGACTCAAATAAATTCAGCATCTCCTGATATTTTGATAGCCAGAAACAGGAGATGCTGGATATATTTGAGACTGCCCTACTACATTCTGGCACTCAAAATATAAGAAAACATAGCAGATATGATTCTTATTAGTACTGTTTCATGTGCACCATTTAAAATTTGAGTTAAACAATCACTTGTAAAAAATTAAAGTATAACCTCATAGGTTCAACTAGATCAGGCCTGCACAACATGCGGCCTGTCAGCACCCACTTTGTGGCTCGCGAAGTAAAGAAATATATTTTTTTTCGTATTATTTTCTTAATAGTTTTCCCCTCGTCCTACTTCCTTTTGGCCCGCACAAGTCATTTCATATTATCTTTTGGCCCGCACGAGTTTTTTCATAAAGTATTACAATATGTGTTGTGCAGGCCTGAACTAGATAACTGTTTCAGAGAATATTTATACAGTACTAGAAAAAACTCACCAAAAAATGGCGGCAGCAATGCTTGAACTTCCCATCATCTAAAGGTGAATTCCATGTAAAAGTGGACACAACATCCAAATATTAAATTGCATAAAATTTGATGCTATGTAAATTTATTTCATGCATCTTGGTATGAAGCAATTTTTAGTATCTTTGTTTTTTATGACACATGACCTGGTGCCCATCTTGAATTAACAACATGTCTTCACATTTAATAGAGATTTTGCTGAATTTTATTTTGTTTACATCTAATAAATAAAGAACAACAATTGTCATGGTCAATGTCACTGGATTGGCAATCATTAAAACACTGCTATTTATGTTTATTTTAATTAGGCCTTCATTATAACTGCTACAGTTAAATATTTGTAATTCTGAAAAAGAATTGACATTGTTGATTGCATTCAGATGTATTATGTCAGTTACATTATTTTGTCTGTATTTTTTTTTTCAAATATGGTTTCTAAGTATTTTTTAGTAGTTTTCCTCAGAAAATAAACCTGTAGATAATTTGAAAATCTGCTATAATTTGGATTTCAGAGGAAATCAACAAAAAAAATGCTAACTCTAATATCTCTTTTTCATGCTACGTCAGTTAATATTCCAAAATGTATTATATTTACTATTATGCTTGATATATATTTTAAAATGCTATTGATTTACAGTCTTCAAACTTAAGACCCAAAACCATATATAGTTAAATTTAGCACTCTTAAGGGATGCAAATTGAAATTATATTTCTGAAAGTTTCATCAGTTGGATGGAACACCTAAAGTTGCTTGTCAAAACATGCAATCAAGTAGCGCACATTATAAGAATCCCAATTAGTGCTAACTTCTGGGAATTGTATTTTGCACGCCTATTGAACACAGTATTATAGACACACGCAAGATTTTTTTCAAAATTGTTATAATTATCACTTATTTTGTCAAATATCTTCCACACTTCACCATAGGATAGGATATCATGAATATACACATATTGTTTTAATATTTTCTTGTACAGTTCGGTTATGAAAATGGCATTAGCAGACAGACCTCCTACATCATCTTAGCTTGCACCAACCTGCTTACTTTGATCAGCACATTTCTATTCTTACCCAAAGACTTCATCCAGAAACCAGCTGTTAGAAACAGGAGAGATGCTGATATTGCTGGAGATCTAGATGCAGCAGTTGAATTGAGGGGTATGATTCAATTTTAATGATGTGCTTATATTGTGACTGATGCTGATTTTTATGTACACAGTGACTCTTGTTTAAATTCAAAAGCATGTATCCAATATTTGTGTATCTTTAAATCATTTTTAAAGCTGAGTCAAGCAGAAGCTTCTTTCACATTTAAATAAATGACACTTTTGCTGCCTAGCATTGCAAGTTTTTCTGCTGAAAATTTGCTCAGAGACCATGATATGACCTTTTATTGGTTTTCATATTGAATTTGTATGTATAGATTATTCAATGAACGATAGGAGATAGGATATTAAGTATTTTTATATAATAAACATAAACAACCCCCCCCCCCCCATAAATGCATTATTAATCATTAGCTGTATTTTAAGTTTATTTATGAATTAATTTGTTGTAATGTTATTTTGATAATGTCAATTCTATCTACATTTTTCTATTGATAAAATGTTAGGTACTTGCTTCAGTTTGTTTAAATGATGCATGTTTAGTAGGGCAGGGTTGCATTGACTAATCTGGCCAATATTCTTCCTAATAGTCCAATTCACAGATTATTGTTATATGAATCAGCATTTTTTTAACAGATAATTTGGTTAAGCGGGTGTTGGCTATCAGAAGATGCTAACCTAAAGTAAATTTTTTAGTTTTAATAGAATCTTGCATTTTAAAATATAAATTTTATGTTTGTGCATACACAGATGTGTGTAGGTCTATAAGGCTGCTTTCATAACACCACCATCACTCCATACTTAACAGGTAAAACATTTAAGGCTATATTTTCTTAAAATAATAGTGTTAAATAATGCAATACAGATAAACGCTCTGATGAACTAACACAGCAGCCTGAGGACAAACGTACATTGCTGCAGTGTGTACTTTCCAGCATCTACTTGCTCCATGTTTTTTGGATCTGTGTCCTTCAACTCCGCTTCTACTTTCTGATTGGCTCACTAAACAAGACCCTGGAAATCTTGCTCCACAAAAATGGAGATGAAGGTACAAAACATTAAAAGTTGTTTTTAATTTGGTGTTACTTAAATATTATGAATAAAAACCCCTATACAACTATTTTTTTAAGATGAAAATGGTAAACCTTGTAATTCCACTAAAGTAAAATATTTTGAAAATGTTCCTTGCAAACCAACCAAATAAATATGATTTGCTCAATCAATTAATATTGATACATTTCTTTGCTGTTTTTTTTTTTTTGTTTGTTCCTTAACCAGAATAGTTACAACCTAAATTAAAAATAAATTTTTCTTGGTTGTATCACTTTATATTTGAAAATGTTCCTTGCAAACCAACCAAATAAATATGATTTGCTCAATCAATTAATATTGATACATTTCTTTGCTGTTTTTTTTTTTTTTTGTTTGTTCCTTAACCAGAATAGTTACAACCTAAATTAAAAATAAATTTATCTTGGTTGTATCACTTTATGGGTCAATATTTGATGTTTAAAGTTAGAAAAAAACATTAAAAAGCAGTTAGCTAAATAAAGGTGATGATTTTTGATTTTTTTTAACTTTTAAAAATTCCTAATTTCTCAATAAGAAAAAAAAATGGTATGGTGCCAAAATTAAATCTTCAGCTCTTATGATATAAAGATTAAATAAAAATTCAAGTTTGTTTTCCCATAATTTCACTTCACTGCTTGCCTTTGACAGAGAGTCATGAATAGGCAAATGTTACTATTATGGAAATATTAACTTGAAAAATGCCTCCGTCAACATCATCATTTTTAAAATATTAATTTGGGATATTTTAGGGGTTATTCGAAAACATGACCTTTACATTCATTATTATGGAATTCCTAGTTTGGCGTCTTGCAAATTTTGATCATTCTTGAAAGCTACATTCATATGGAATTCACAACAATTAAGTGAAATATTACATTTGAATCTAATTTATGAACTGAGAACACAATTATTTTCTACATACCTTAAGTTTGTTGTAATATTGATTATTTTATTTTCATCTCAATTTTTTTCCCCAGTCAGTCACTACACAAACGTATCAACAATTGTACTCATGTTGGGCATCATAACATCACCTTTTGCTGGATTTGTGTGTGACTTCCAAAAGCAATTTTTTGTCAGTAGGTTTTTTTTTTTTTTTATCTTGCGTTTTAAATTTTCCCGTTCAAAATAAGATTATTCTTTCTTTTAAATCTATAGTCATTTGACATTTTATGTTCAATAATTTAAGTCAAACTGTACAATATTATGGATGTTAGGAGCCAGCAACTTTTACCCCAGTGCACCTAGTTATTTTGTTTGGTTACTTTCTTGGAAATATTGGTTCAAAATATTTGCTATAGAAACCTCGTTTTCAACTTCTTTCTCTTTGTCCTGAAAGTGCTTTTTAAATACCGGTATTGTCTTAAAAACTAAGTTTGGCTATTTGATAAAGGTTAATAAATGTACTGCATTCAAGCTGTTTGAAGTAAAGAGTAGAACAAGGTATGTTGAAGCTTGAATGGAAAGACAGAACAATAAGATAAAAACATTTTGGCAGAGCCTTCCTCAGCAGACAGGACAAATGAAAATACAAAGTATTTATTTTATTATATTATATGTATCTCCAAAATATTTTTGTCCGTTAAGATCGTATTTTTTACAGTAATTAGGGGTGTGCCGGATCCGTTTTTTTCAACCGGATCCGGATCTTCTTATGCGAAATCCTCCGGATTCGGATCCGGATTCCGGAATAATCCGGATTCCGGAATAATCCGGATTCCGGTTTCTCCCGGATTCCGGATTTTGGTACTATTGGTAGATACTTCGGTAAGTCAAGGTAGACTACTACTTTTTGTGTATGGGAATTCGCAATCGGCGCCAAAAAATCCGAGTTTTTAATTTTCCGATGTGTGTGTCTATTTATTATTAAATTAGTACTTTCGATATATATTTGAGTTCCGTTCCATTTGGATAAGTGTCTTACGAGAGACGCCATGTTTCTACGCGTTCGCAGCAGGTCATGCAGCTCGCTCAACCTAATTTCGCCATGGGGTTGGCCACGCCCCCCTTTTTAATGGCGGAAGTTGCCGATACTTAGGAAATATTAATTTATTATCACTATTTACATCAAAATAATTGATAACTTGTGTTTCAGAATGCATTTAAAGACATTTAAACTGGAATGTTTTAATTTGAGCTTTAACAACCCGGTAGAATCCATATTATAAATGATCAGAATTTACCGTGTGCAACACGTTGTCATTGGCAACCATTCACAGCCACTTGCATAACTGTATCGTAGTACTACCTCAGAGTTTCATTCATAAGAGTTTGCCGTGTGCAAAAACTATTAAACCATTGGTCAGGGAAAGCTTTAATTAATTATTCATGTGCCAAAGTTGAAAGTTTAAACTAAGTCTAAACAGTATTTTAGTGATAAGGCAGGGAATGCGTTGCCTTATATAAACTATATAGTCATTGCACATGACGGGATTGGCGGAATGAGATCACAGAATGTGGAGATGCAGTCCATGTTAAAAAATGACAAACCAAGTCGTACTTTAAAAATTCATAACTTTAAAACTACAACAGCTAAAAATATGATTTTGGTGTTATAATTCTTAAAAAAATTACCTCTTTTCAACTATGCCATTGGTTTATTTTTACAAAAAGTTTAAATTTTCTTATCAAAGTCCCTACACTATTGGCCACTATTAGCGGTGCTGACTCTAGCCTCTGGTATGTTCGGAATATTAAACATTAAACAAGCTCAACGCTCGAAACAATCGATTAATGTATCGTGATCGTGTGGAATTCGGGATAGAGAATTACTTTTATTTCAGGTTATGATCCGGTGAGTCACAAAATCTGGCAAATTCCGAAATCGGGTTTATTCCGGATTCCGGTTGTTCCGGATACATGTAAATCCGGCGGAACCGGATTTCACCGGATAGTGCAAAATCCGGCGGAACCGGATTCCGGCACACCCCTAACAGTAATAATATATAATTTATATTTCTTTTACTTCCTGTGATGTTGGTTTTTGAAAATCCAACTTCCAGCAATAACAATGGCGATCACTTAAGTTTTTAACTAATTTCTATTTCTTGTCATATTTTATTTTGTCCTATCTGCTAAGGAAGTCTCTTAGCCGAAACGTTCTTATCTTAATGTCCTGTCTTTCAATTCAAGCTTCAACATTACCTATGGATTACTGTTTTCTGCCCACAAATTATATCTATCAAAATGAAATATGATTTAAAAATTTTTTAGATAGCAAATCACCTTTACGAAAGGTCCTGATGCCAACGGTCATCCCTCTTACGCTGACCACCACACTGTGCATCATCCTGTCTAGCCTTATCCTCTTTGAAGAGCCAACACTGTTGTATGCTGTCTATGTGTGCCTGCTTTTCTTCAGATCCTTCATGTACACCATTGGTGCTGGGTACATCAGTGCCTTGTGAGTTATCTTTCCTTTAACTTTTGCCTAAGAAAGTAATGTTTTGTATAACTTAATTAAATTTATAAGAGCTGTCATTTAGCTTGACTCCATTTAAATTTTGTGGTTAACAAGATGCTTTTCTCTTTTATACCTCATAGATTCCCTAGTTCATATTTTGCTATTCTCTATGGCATTTTGATCTTAGCCGGAGGTGTTGTTAGCATGTTTCAATATGTCTTCTTTAATTGGGCTGACAGTCAAGGATTTTTCCAGGTAAGCATTTTGTTTTAAGTATATGTCTGATTGTGTTTTAAATGGCATCTTTTTGTAATTTTAAGTTATACTAGGAAGTGGCATACCGTTTATACCAATTCAGATTATAATTTAACTCAAATTGAATATAAAAAAAGCTTCTTTATAAAAAAATCATACAAGTTCCAATTCCGTTTAATGTCTTCTTAATAAAAAATGAAGTGCTAAAAAAATATATATAAATTATTTTTTTTAGGCACACTTTCACTTATTAATGACAAGAATCAACTAATGTACATTTCTATCTGTAGGTGAACCTGTTCCTGTTGTTTCTTATGTTCTCTACATACGTTCACCCAATCTATCAATGGTGGTCTTGCAGACAGGCTGAAAACACTATTCTTTTAATGGATCCCATCTAGTCATTTTTTAAAAAAGATGTCTCATACCCAGCAAAGTTGGGAGGGGGGGGGGAGGGGTTTGCTTGGGATTTATCTTATCTAAATTTTAAATAGGTTATTAATACAGACCTGTTTACCCCCAAACTCTTGAAATCGTACAATATCACCAATAAATCGTTCAATACATTATCTTAATAGTAAAAAAAACACAGTGTATATAATGCATACAACTCAAAATCGTACATTGCACGCCAAAATCGTAAGAGTAAACAGGTCTGTTAATAAGTTGGATTTTTTTTTTAATTGGTTATCCTATGACAGGGGTGGGAAAACTTTTTGTGCAGAGCGCCACATTGACAAATGTAAAGCTATTGGGGGGCAGCATGTATATTATGTCCAATTTTTACATGTCGATAAACATTTCTCTATAAATAAACCAGTAAATTCGCATTTTATCATTAAATGACAAAAGTCGAGGACTGTTTAAAAAAATATATAATTAGAAAGAAATTTGATAAAAAATGTTAAAACAATCATCACCGTACATGAAATACGCTACTGTAAAATTCAACAAAATAAATTTAAAACAAAGTAATATTTTACATTTCTAAATGCCTCCAAGGGCTACATAGTATCAGTAGTTTGCCCACCCCTGTCCTATGACATATGATTTAACTGAAATATCTGCATTTTCATCAATTCTTTTATAATTATAGAATAATTTTTTAAAATTTAATTTTAAATCTGTATCTTTGGCTTTAAGCTCTATTAAGTTTCAATTTTTGTTGTGGAGTTATTATCTGAAAATTTAAAAAAATAATTTACTCTTTATACTGTCATCACTTGCGTTTAATCTAGATTTTAATCTTGATAATGCCTTGAAGAAATCAGGTAATATTGCTTAAATCCATGAGATTATATTTTTTGAACACTATTTTTTCATATGCAGGTATTTGCAAACTGCTAGTCCTTGGAATTTACACTTAATACTCATTTACTCTCTTTTTACCTCATTTAAAAATCAGATGATAAATCCCTAAGAGATTAATCTTAGTTTAACAAAATCATAGGAAGAATTTTAAAATAAACTCTGAACAATGTCAGAAATATCTTGTTAAAATAATGTAATAATCCTGCATATAATATCAATTTTAAGATTTGACATTGATAGCAATGGGCCTAAAAGCTTAGTTCTTCTCTAGTTGTCTTGTGGAAAGGGAATATTTTTTTTAGTCTTGCCGCTATTATAAACAATTGATCATTACAGTTATAAACATACACATAACCAAGTGTTTGGCTCTATGACTAATTTCCACATTTTTCTTATTTATTTTGGTTTCATTGTAAAAAAAAAAGTAAATTTGTTTAAAGTGCCATACATTTATTACTAGAGTTACTAACCACACATTGAAGAATAGCAATTTTCACTAGCTGTGCACTACTTGAAATGTGAGAAGCAATCTGATTAGCTGGTACAAAGACCCGCAAGCCAATTTCCAGGCTCGTATTATTGGGCCGATAGATTGACATTTTGTCTTTTTTGACATTCGACTCTTGGGCCGATAGATCAGTCCAGTCCATCTCAAGACTTAAAATGAAAATTGAAATCCATAACCACAGTAAAAAATGTCATGATTTACTTAAAATTGAATACAACATGAAAAGCCCATATAAGATTCTTTGTAAGAATTAAATGTCTAAATACATTTACTGTAATTTTTTTTGAAGCTGTTTATATATCATACAGTACTTTAATGACTAATGTGTTTCTGTGGTCCTTTTAGTCTGAATTTTTTCATTTATTTTATTTTGGTATGGGATGCTTTTATATATTCATATTTACTTAACTGGTACCCATATATTTCCAAATGCATTTTTATTTTGACCAACGGGTCAACCTAATATTGCTTTAGCTCATTCTTTAATACCTATAAATTAGTATAAATTTCCTTAAGCATTTTTTTCAAACAAAAACTTATGAGCTTATATGACTTAAGTGCATTCTTTTACTTTATAATTTTTTTAGTCATTCATGATAAGCCTTTTTTTTAAAAATTGTTGTCTTCAGTAGATATTCTGTAGTTTTTTGGCATTTTTTGGCAATTGTTTTTACTTTCAATATTTTGAGGAATGTTTATAGAACTTTTATGCTCATTATTATTTTTATATTAAACTTGATACTATCCTTTCTTCCTTTGAAGAATGTCATCGTCATTACTCAATCAAACACAATTTGTTGAACTTTGTCTGTAATTCTGCTAATTCTTAAAGATTTGTGTACAATGGTTTATAGTTAACTGGGTCAACAACTTGTTTTTTTAATGTGCAGTGTCTGGAAATGTTTCCTTTTATTGTAAAGTTCAGACATACTCTTGACACCATGTGTTCGCCTTGAGACTTGCGGAAAGCGCACTTTCGCATTTGCTGGTCCAACAATTTGGAACGCCCTTCCACTCGATCTCAGAAACATCCAGACACTGGAGTCCTTTAAAACCGATTTAAAGACACATTTATTTCGCAAACACTTTCTGGGATGATTGTCTACCATATTTTCCATTTAATGCATATTGGCTGTGTTGCTCACGGTTGAAATGGGTTGAAAGACTTTGACATTGTATGCTTGTAATTAGTTTTTGCAGTGTTGCGTTTGTTTTAAATTTGGTAAATTATAGATTTGTTTTTTGTTGACTTTGTACCGCGCTTCGAGCCTTTGGGGATGAAGCGTGTTTTTGAAATGAACTTTATTATTATTATTATTATATTTGCTGAAGTGTCTTGTATCAACAAGTTTTCTTGAATGTTTGTTTATCATTCAAGACAAGATAATCTAGTTATTACGTAGCTTATAACTTTTAATGTAAATTCTGACCTTTTGTTGTGTAAGATTTTTATAGTGCATTAACACCTCATTGTATAACTTGTACTGACTTTTACATTTTTAAAATTCTATGTAATGATTTAGCCTATTTGACATTTATGCTCATTGCTTTAAAAAAAATCCAACCTTTGAAAAATTGTTAATATGTCTCGCATCCCTAAGCTTTATCCAAAGATTTCCATTATTTAAATTTTCATATGTCTTCACCTGTCTAATTAGCCACATCATATGTTGTAAGTCCTGAATGGCAATTTAGTTTTGGTATGGATTAGTTATGGGTATGTAATTGGAAAAACTGCCACTTTCTAACAGTATGGCTTTACAAAAGAAGCCATAGTGCAAGTACAAATTTATAAGATACCACAAATGATTCAATTTTAATGCATACACCATTTAGTGGTTGCTGGGGAGGACCCCAACAAAATTTGACCCCTCCACTTTTATCAATTAAAAAAGCTTTTTCTTATCCATTTCAAACACACTTTCTTAACCACAGATTGATTGAAATATCCAATTTGAGATTGACCACACTTTATGATTTATGGTGCATAAATCCAGTTGAAATTATAATTAATTAAAAAATAGTCAGTGTGCCTTTTGTGTACACGCATGAAAATTGCATTTTTTAAAATAATTTTATTTATAAGGTGTACTTGTTGACGTGCACAGAATTTCTAAGTTGAAATTTCAAAAATGCTATAAAAAAAAAAAGATCTTTTAGTATCTATTTTCTTGTTATATTTGTAGGTTTTCATATCCATAGTCAAGATGAGTCACAAAAAAATTACCACAGAAGTTAAAGTAAAATAACTTTAAAAAATAATCTTTACTGGTGTCTGCATCTAACAATTTCAATCTCAGATGTTATGTTCAGCTGGTCATTTCTTTAGAAGGAAGAGCAATTAAATCCACATGTTATTGTAGTCAGAAATATGTTATGGTATTTTTAAAACATGTACTTTATTTTAGATGTCTTGGTTATAGTTTATGTACGGTACCAGAGGTTTGGTTGTGAGTTTTAGATCAGTGCACTTTTACTATGACAATTCAAGTTTTCTTCCAAGTTGTATTGTTAAATTTAGAGATTAATTCTCATCATGACAGGTTGTATCAATATTAATGTTTTCATTCATATTTCTCTTGTTCATAAGGTCTCATTTTGATATCAAGGAAAGCTGCCATCTTTATACAATTTACTTTTTGTATTTTTGACACTTATTACTTTTAATTCTGTAAGCTTGTTACAGAAAGCCAGTTTTCCTTCATTATTCTATACATTTTAATTATTCTACAAAATATTATCTTTTAAACCAATCCTTCTTAGTGCCATTGAATGTTGATACATTTGAAATAAGTAATACAGTGGAGTGTGGATTTTATGAACTAATAGACTAATTGGGACCGGGGATGGTTTTGATAACTGAACTCTCCCACCAAAAAGAAGTTAGTTTGTTTTAAAACAAGTACATTGACTACTATTTTTGTTGTGTATCCATCCTTGACAATGTGATAATAGTACTTTGCAAGATGAAATCACAGGTTCCCTAGACAGCAAATCACCTCGCTCCACGCATCTGGATAACCCAAGGTAATATCATGTGTGGAAGATACAGCTTGACACCAGTAACGTAGCAGTTGTGGGAATTTTCATTGTCTATGTCATACCCTCTACGAGGCTCATGGTTTAAATTCAGTTTTCCTTCTCCTTGATGACTTGCTAAATCCAAGGTTAATGAGTCCCCATCCACGAGGGTGCTGATGATGTTTTTTGCTTGTCTAGCCCTTTGCTGGGGATTGAACTCCAGTACACAAGTTCGGATTGACTTAGTTATGACCACAAGGCCACCCACACCATATAATTATAGTGCATTATTGTACAGTGTATTAATCAGAGCACACGCTGTTTCACTGTTAGCTTATTGATTTAATCAGAGCACACGCTGTTTCACGGTTAGCTTATTGATTTAATCAGAGCACACGCTGTTTCACGGTTAGCTTATTGATTTAATCAGAGCACACGCTGTTTCACGGTTAGCTTATTGATTTAATCAGAGCACACGCTGTTTCACGGTTAGCTTATTGATTTAATCAGAGCACACGCTGTTTCACGGTTAGCTTATTGATTTAATCAGAGCACACGCTGTTTCACGGTTAGCTTATTGATTTAATCAGAGC